CCTGATCCACCAAGTTACTAGACATACCAGTTTCACGAAGATATTTCTTGCAGAACTTTAGTAGAGATACGCCCTTTGCATTAAATTTGGATCTTAATACATCGCTGCACTGGATCCCAGTAAGTTCTATTTGAATATATGTAGACTTATATATGGGCTCGTAACACCGCTGATACGAAGACCAATAGTAAGAGAGCGACTTCCCGACACAGCTGATGGTAGTTGTGTCAAGCTTCACAGTCTGTGTTTGCTCTAGAAAAAAAAGCCTTTGGGCCGGGTTAATATAATATTTCTCTTAAGGACTGAGGGCCGGAGTATTTCGGGTTATGGGCCGGATCCGGCCAACGGTCCCTAGGTTGCCGACCCCTGGTTAACACTATCACTGTCTTGCCAAAGGCGCGTGGATGCGACAGTCTAGATATCCTAAAACAACAAATATCGTGCCTCCACTCTTACAGAGTGGAGGCACTGTACTTCCCACCTCCAGGACTCAAGTCTGGCTAACCAGTTTCCCTGAATCCCTTCACTAAATATTTACCTTACACTCCAACAGCTCGTCAAGTCCCAAAAACCAATCGTCTCACTCCTTGCAAGTCCAGTCAACAGAGTACTGCTAGATGTGTGTTGATGTATTGATCAAGGTGGCATAGTGATCAAGGTGTAGTGATCAAGGTGTAGTGATCAAGGTGATGTAGTGATCAAGGTGTAGTGATCAAGGTGATGTAGTGATCAAGGTGATGTAGTGATCAAGGTGATGTAGTGATCAAGGTGATGTAGTGATCAAGGTGTAGTGATCAAGGTGATGTAGTGATCAAGGTGATGTAGTGATCAAGGTGATGTAGTGATCAAGGTGTAGTGATCAAGGTGATGCACTGATCAAGGTGACATAGTGATCAAGGGACATAGTGATCAAGGGACATGGTGATGAAGGTGATGTAGTGATCAAGGTGACATAGTGGTCAATGGACATAGTGATCAAGGGACATAGTGATCAAGGGACGTAGTGATCAAGGTGATGTAGTGATCAAGTGACATAGTGATCAAGGGACGTAGTGATCAAGGTGATGTAGTGATCAAGGGACATAGTGATCAAGGGACATAGTGATCAAGAGACATAGTGATCAAGGGACATAGTGATCAAGGGATATAGTGATCAAGGGACATAGTGATCAAGGACATAATGATCAAGGGATATGGTGATCAAGGGACATAGTGTTCAAGGGACATAATGATCAGGGGATATAGTGATAAAGGGACATAGTGATGAAGGGTTATAGTGATCAAGGGTTATAGTGATCAAGGGACATAGTGATCAAGGACAAGATAATCAAGGATATAGTGATCAAGGGACATAGTGATGAAAGGACATAGTGATCAAGGGATATAGTAATCAAGGGACATAGTGATCAAGGGACACAGTGATCAAGGGACATAGTGATGAAGGTGATGTAGTGATTAAGGGACATAGTGATCAAGGTACATAGTGATCAAGGTACATAGTGATCAAGATGTAGTGATCAAGGTACATAGTGATCAAGATGTAGTGATCAAAGAACACAGTAATCAAGGGACATAATGATCAAGGTGATGTAGTGATCAAGGTGACATAGTGGTCAATGGACATAGTGATCAAGGTGATGTGGTGATCGAGTGACATAGTTATCAAGGGGCCTAATGATCAAGATGATGTAGTGATCAAGGGACATAGTGATCAAGAGACATAGTGATCAAGGGACATAGTGATCAAGGGAAAATAGTGGTCAAGGGACATAGTGATCAAGGGACATAGTGATCAAGGGACAGTGATCAAAGGACATAGTGATCAAGGGACATAGTGATCAAGGGACATAGTGATCAAGGGACATAGTGATCAAGGGTCACAGTGATCAAGGGACATAGTGATCAAGGGACATAGTGACCAAGGAAGACAGCAACAAGAAGAAAGTCAGGAGGAACAGACACACACACAGACGAGAGAAGGTCTCCCGGGGATGGTCTTCATCATGAGTCCCCACCGTGTGAGGAGTCACCCCTCCCCTGGGGGGAAAGTCACCCCAGCCCAGGGGAAGGGACGCGCTGAGGAAGGACACCCCCTCCTCCCCTACCACCCCCCATATCCCCACCCACTTCCCCTTCCCCTGATCCGCAAGGCACTGTTTGTAGTACAGTTACCTGCATTCGCTGTCCGGGGGTCACCGCCCCCCTCCCCAGACAAGTCCTCCTGGTTCTTCTCGCTACATATCTTCACACATAACACAGTATTAAGGTTCATTCTAACCAAAATCATTTCTTCTTGTAGCAGATTTTAATTACCATTATTTTCTTTATGTTGGTTCCACCGTGACTATGTTGGTTGTCAACAACTGTAGACTTGCATTACTTACCTTCATATGTTCTACATACTGAGACAACGACTCAGGTAGAGTGGAACCTGCTAGGCAGGTACACCCCGTCATGTAGATATCTCTCACTCTGCTTAACCGGAAGAATGAGACACTTGTGCAACGTTTGGGAAGCTTCACTGAGGAAACATTTTGCCAGCCAGTGGCTTCCTCAGTCCAATACAGACAACCTGTTAAACACAGCATCTTGGGGTCTTGATACAGGGAATTCTTCACCATTCGCTTAACCTACAAACATGACCTACGTACATTAGTGGCTTCTTCCACTGGTAACGCCGTCTACCAGTGCTTCACCTCACATGACTGCAGTATATATGACACTTCTCCGAGCATATGCTGTATATTTCTTAAGATTGATGAACTGAACACATTGACTCCAGACTAAGGGACTGATTACCTCAAAATCCTCCTCATCTGTCACTGTTATTCTCTGTATTGGACTGAAGAAGCCACTGGCTGGCAAAATGTTTCCTCAGTAAAGCTTCCCAAACGTTGCACAAGTGTCTCATTCTTCAAGTTTAACAGAGTGAGAGATATCTCCATGACGGGGTGTACCTACCTAGCAGGTTCCTCTCTACCTGAGTCGTTGTCTCAGTATGTAGAACATATGAAGGTAAGTAATACAAGTCTACAGTTGTTGACAACCAATATAGTCACGGTGGAACCAACATAAAGAAAATAATGGTAATTAAAATCTGCTACAAGAAGAATTGGTTCTGGTAAGAGTGGAACTTAATACTGTGTTATGTGTGAAGATATGTAGCGAGAAGAGGTGTGAAGATCTTCATCCAAGAAGCGTGTGACAGCGTCTTATCAAGGAGTGGGTGGAAGGAAGTGGTTTTTATGATCTGGCGTGTTTCTGGATTCTGAGCAATGTAACATTGATGAAGGGATTCAGGACTTGACTCTTAGAGGTGGGAAGTACAGTGCCTGCACTCTGAAGGATGGGTGGGGATGTTACAGTCCTGGATGCGGGAAGTAGAGTGCCTGCACTCTGAAGAATGGGTGGGGATATTACAATCCTGGAGGTGGGAAGTACAGTGCTTGCTCTCTGAAGGATGGGTGAGGATATACCAGTCCTGGAGGTTGGAAGTACAGTGCTTGCTCGCTGAAGGAGGAGTGGGGATGTTACAGTCCTGAAGGTGGGAAGTATAGTAACTGCACTCTGAAGGATGGGTGAGGATGTTGCAGTCCTGGAGATGGGAAGTATAGTAACTGTACGCTAAAGAGTGGGGATATATCATTTCTGTGTCATCTGAGCTGTGATGTCAGCTTGCTTCTGGGAAGACAGTAATTGTCTGATTGATCGTGAAAGTCTTTCTTCTTTTTTTCGGTTCACGCTGCCAAGTGGGAGAGGGAAAGTGTTAAAACTGTTGAAGAATAAGACACTTGTGCAACACTTGGGTATCTTATTTCCAAAACGTTTTAAGTGCGCAACAAACTTATTCAGTAGAATGCAGGTGAACATGACAGTGGTATTTTTGAGGTAATCAGTCATACAGTCTTGGTAGGAGGTGGTCAGTCCCTTGAGCCTAAAGCATAGGCCTGCGGCCACACCTTATTAAATATGATACTTATCTGACTGCTGCTGAATGTTGAAGACAGAGTAAAACAACTAAAGTTATATTAAGTTTACAAAATTGCTCACAAACAGTGTCCAGAATATCTTGCTGCTAATTTTGTCAAGGTTGAGAACCAAAGTAATCATGGTACTAGAGGGAGAGAACACAACTTTGTAGTACCCATAGTCAGTGGCCAGGCTTCAAACACCTTTTATTGTACAACAATAAAGGAATGGAACAGACTGCCTGTACATGTCACAGCCAGTCATAGCATGAACCAGTTCAAGAAGAGTGCCAAAAGGTGTCTGATGAATGTAGCGACAGAAAGGGAGGAGAATGATTTTTTATATTTTTTGAGCTAAGACACATGTAAATATAAATAAGTCATTTTTCCTTATTCTAGTATATCTCCTTTATAGTATAATAATAAGGAAATAAGTCACTTTACTTACTGACTCACCCACACCATGGCATCTTGCTGCTATATCTTCTTTGTTAAACAACTGTTTAACTTGACCTACCTACACTGGTGGGCCACTCTCACCTGTGATGTTAACTCCAGCTGCTTCACCTCACCTCTACTCTAGTATATAAGGTCTGGCCGCACTCCTCTGCTTTAGCTTGGCGGGACTGATAACCTTCTACCAAGAGTGACGGATTAATCAAGTCAAAACTGATTCTTTTATTGTCTCCAGTTGTATATTCACCTATATTCGACTGAAGAAGACTGTTGAGTAAGAGAGAAGTTTCGGCAATAGAAGAAAACTATTGCCTAAGGAAAAATAAACACAAATTAAGTAGAATCACATCATACTTCATTTGTGTTTATTTTTGTTTATTTTTCCATCGTGTCGGTATTTTATATCGCTTATCTCCACAGTGCCATAGCAAGATTATAGAGACTTTTGGTAGAGTGACGTAAAATATAATGGTAAGTGGTACTACCAACAAGGTTTACCGAGGTTATGCTAGATAATGAATACAAGACACTGCGAGCATAACTCCGTAGTAAGTAATAACAGCATCTGCCACATACCCGCACCCACAGTAAATGCGGTCCATGTTGAGGAGCTTAAGCAGGAAGACTTGGGTTGAGGGGTGAGTGAGGAGACAGCTCCTGGCACAGTGTGTAATGTTGACACCTGGTCGCTGGAGCAACGTTGTCACCACCGCTGACTCGTTGATCATCATCTCCTCGTAGCATCCTAAATAACCCAAAGTCGGAGATCCCGACAGCTTCCTACTAGCTAGATGTATCGTGGTTTTCCTCATTGTTTCTATTTTTGTATAGTTCATGGATGAATTCTGCCAGGGAGAGATGGAGTGGGTTACATGCGTCGTAGGAGGATCTGTGGAGGTGGTGGTGGTGGAGGTGAAGATTATCTTCTCTGGCACAGTAAGGTGGACTCTCCTACAAGAGTGGTTAGTGTGTTCCACTTCATAGACGCTGGTCGTCTTCTCGCTCCCACACTTCTGATTGTCACCGTCGGGACACACATAACAATCATAGTAATCATTAACTTTGCCCGAGAGGTTGCCCACAGCCAGCTGGCTACCACAGCCACAAGCCAGAAGTTGGTTAACATCCACCAACTTAGCCAACACCAGGTGGGTCTCCGGCCATCGCTGCAGACACAGAGTTCCACAAGTGACTGCTGACCTCTCAGCCAGATCAGAATGTATGGTCACGAACCTGCTGTGATCAAGATACAAGTCATTGTAACAGAAGAGATGGTTGAGACAGGCGGCCCAGGCCAGGCGCACACCCACTGCACACAATAACAATGGTAACATTGGAACAGGGTCTCTGCGGTCCCAGTGATACTCGTCAGGCCTCTCAGACATGATAAGCCAGAGATAACATATCTTTTATACTGGCATAACAACGATCTAATCTAATCTATGTGTGCGTGTTAGTGTTTACGTCCACCTGCCAATCATTAAATTAAATAGTTCACCTGAGGCGCGGTACAGTGTGTAAATAAATGATTCACAAGACAATGAAGACACAAGCCGACCTAATAATAGTCACTATGCCAGAAAAATTATAAGAGATTTATAATATTACATTGATAGTGCCTATGTTGGCCTACGATTTTTTCTAAATGAAAAATATTTAATTTTAGTTCAACTGAATTCCTGTAACTGCGAAAGTATGAATAGCGAGAGTGACATCCGTGACAGAATATTATTATAATAATAATTAAAATTAAGCGCTAAACCCACAAGGATCTTACAAAGCCCAGACAGAATATTAATTAAATATACAAAAATAAATATTGCAAAAGAATGTGAGCAATACGATACGATGTTTATAATGATTCATTTATACAATGTATATATATATATATATATATATATATATATATATATATATATATATATATATATATATATATATATACATACATATATATATGTTATATATATATATATATATATATATATATATATATATATATATATATATATATATATATATATATATATATATATATATACATATATATATGTATATATATATATATATATATATATATATATATATATATATATATATATATATATATATATTATATATATATATATATGTGTGTGTGTGTGTGTGTGTGTGTGTGTGTGTGTGTGTATGTACGGTAGGGTTATAATTGAAAGAATTAGAGGTAAGACAGAATGTAGGATTGCGGATGAGCAAGGAGTTTCAGAGTGGGTAGGGGATGTGTAGATCAAGTGTTTACATTAAAGCATATATATGAACAGTATTTAGATAAAGGTAGGGAAGTTTTTATTGCATTTATGGATTTAGAAAAGGCATATGATAGAGTGGATAGGGGAGCAATGTGGCAGATGTTGCAAGTATATGGAATAGGTGGTAAGTTACTAAATGCTGTAAAGAGCTTTTATGAGGATAGTGAGGCTCAGGTTAGGGTGTGTAGAAGAGAGGGAGACTACTTCCCGGTAAAAGTAGGTCTTAGACAGGGATGTATAATGTTACCATGGTTGTTTAATATATTTATAGATGGGGTTGTAAAAGAAGAAAATGCTAGGGTGTTCGGGAGAGGGGTAGGATTAAATTATGGGGAATCAGATACAAAATGGGAATTGACAGAGTTGCTTTTTGCTGATGATACTGTGCTTATGGGAGATTCTAAAGAAAAATTGGAAAGGTTAGTGGATGAGTTTGGGAGTGTGTGTAAAGGTAAAAAGTAGAAAGTGAACATAGAAAAGAGTAAGGTGATGAGAGTATCAAATGATTTAGATAAAGAAAAATTGGGTATCAAATTGGGGAGGAGGAGTATGGAAGAAGTGAATGTTTTCAGACACTTGGGAGTTGACGTGTCGGCGGATGGATTTATGAAGGATGAGGTTAATCATAGAATTGATGAGGGAAAAAAGGTGAGTGGTGCATTGAAGTATATGTGGAGACAAAAAACTTTATCTATGGAGGCAAAGAAGGAAATGTATGAAAGTATAGTAGTACCAACACTCTTATATCAATCAATCAATCAATCAAGTTTATTCTCTATATGGATTACAATGCGGGGTTTACAGATTTTGGGTATTGTGTGGTTTACATGTTCTAAAATACTAATTACAGAGGGGGCCACTAGGACACCTAGCATGGCTAGGCATTTCGGGCAGACTTAGATTAATTCTTAACTTTAAATTAGATTATGGTATTAAGGCTAAATGACTACACTGTAGTGTGTGAGTTTAGCCATGTGAATGCTATTGTTTTGGCACAATACATAGTGTCTATACTGGAGTATCATAGACAAACTTATGACTAGTTAGGATTCATTATTTTAAGATTAAGATTCGTATTTCTATGTTTACAGTCAATGGGTGAGTGAGTGTAAGTGTGAACCACCAGGTGGTTTACATGTAGTTAGTTGTCGGGTGTATCAGGGAGATAAGATGTTTTCTAACTGTAGTTTTGAAAGTGATGAATGTGTCTGCAGTTCTAGAGTTTTCAGGTAGGGTGTTCCGGAGTTTAGGGCCTTTGACATACATTGAATTTTTGTAAAGGTATAGTCGGACACGGGGAATGTCATAGAGATGTTTGTGTCTGGTGTTATGCCTGTGGATCTTGTCACAACTATCAAGAAAGCGTTTTAGGTCAAGTTTAATATTGGAATTTAAGGTCCTGTAGATATAGATTGCACAGTAGTAAGTGTGGATGTTCTGAACAGGTAGAAAGTTTAGATCTGTGAAGAGTGGGGGGCGGGATGTTGCCAGGGATGGGATTTAGTGATTATTCTTACTGCGGCTTTTTGTTGGGTTATTATTGGCTTTAGGTGTGTTGCTGCAGTTGATCCCCAAGCACAAATAGCATAGGTAAGGTATGGATAAATGAGTGAATGGTATAGTGTGAGAAGGGCAGTTTGCGGCACGTAATGTCGTATCTTGGAGAGGATCCCCACCGTTTTGGATACTTTTTATGTTGTGTTGGATATGGGTGCTGAAATTTAGGTTGTTGTCGAGGTATAGACCTAGGAATTTGCCCTCATTATGTCCGGCAATTAGAGTTGTAGTAGTAGTTGTCGTAGACGTGAAGGTTAGGTACATGTCCTCAGAATCAAGATTCCATGATGTTGCAGAGTCTGACAAGTTGTGCAAGAATGGTATATAATACCGACAAGATGAAATTAAGACACAAGTGCATCATCTGGGTATCTTTATTGTAGACGTTTCACCATCCAGTGGATTTATCAATACAAATTCTAGGACATAGCTTGAAGACAGTAGGACTATATACAGAAGACGAGGTAATCAGTCCCTCAACCTAGGAGTAGGTGCGAAGAGCACCGCAGTCGTGGAGATTCTGAAGCAGAAGCAAGGAGCCTGGCGCTTATATAGTAACGTCAGGTGCAGCAGACGAGGTTACCTGGAGGTTACCTGGAGGTTATTCCGGGGATCAACGCCCCCGCGGCCCGGTCCATGACCAGGCCTCCCGATGGATCAGGGCCTGATCAACTAGGCTGTTACTGCTGGCCGCACGCAGTCCAACGTACGAGCCACAGCCCGGCTGATCCGGCACTGACTTTAGGTATCTGTCCAGCTCTCTCTTGAAGGCGGCCAGGGGCTTATTGGCAATTCCCCTAATGCTTGATGGGAGGCTGTTGAACAGTTTTGGGCCCCGGACACTTATGGTGTTTTCCCTTAGTGTACCAATGGCACCCCTACTTTTTATTGGGGGCATTTTGCATCGCCTGCCCAGTCTTTTACTTTCTTAGGGAGTGATTTCTGTGTGCAGATTTGGGACCATTCCTTCCAAGATTTTCCAAGTGTAGATTATGATATATCTCTCCCTCCTGCGTTCCAACGAGTACAAGTCAAGTGCTTCCAAGCGTTCTCAGTAGTTAAGGTGCTTGACAGAACTTATACGTGCAGTAAAGGATCTCTGTACACTCTCTAGATCTGCGATTTCACCTGCTTTGAATGGAGATGTTAATGTACAGCAGTATTCTAGCCTAGAGAGAACAAGTGATTTGAAAAGGATCATCATTGGCTTGGCATCTCTCGTTTTGAAAGTTCTCATTATCCATCCTATCATTTTCTTTGCACGTGCGATCGTGGCACTGTTCTGATCCTTGAAAGTGAGATCCTCAGACATTACTACTCCCAGGTCCCTTACATTATTTTTCCGCTCTATTGTATGGCCGGAGTCAGTAGTATATTCTGTTCTAGTTATTATCTCCTCCAGTTTTCCATAACGGAGTAGTTGGGATTTGTCCTCATTGAACATCATATTGTTTACCGTTGCCCACTGGAAAATTTTGTTTATATCTTCTTGGAGGTTAACCGCGTCCTCAGCAGATGACAGCCTCATGCAGATCCTAGTATCATCCGCAAAGGATGATACGGTGCTGTGGTGTATATCTCTGTCTATGTCTGATATGAGGATAAGGAATAAGATGGGGGCGAGTATGCCTTGTGGAACAGAGCTCTTCACTATGGCAGCCTCCGATTTAACTCTGTTGACCACTACTCTTTGTGTTCGATTTGTTAGGAAGTTGAAGATCCATCTCCCCACTTTCCCAGTTATTCCTTTAGCACGTATTTTATGGATTATTACGCAATGATCGCATTTGTCAAATGCTTTTGAAAAGTCTGTGTATATTACATCTGCATTCTGATTTTCTTCCAGTGCATCCAAGGCCATGTCATAGTGATCCAGTAGTTGTGAGAGGCAGGAGCGCTGCCCTTTGAACCCATGTTCCCCTGGATTGTGCAGTTTTTGGGGAAACCCAGGTGATTTGCAATCATGCTTCTTAGCACTCTTTCAAAGTTTTTTATGATGTGGGACGTCAGAGCTATTGGTCTATAGTTCTTAGCTAATGCTTTTGCTGCCACTTTATGGAGTGGGGCTATATCCGTTGTTTTAAGTGACTGTGGAATTTCACCATGTCCAAGCTCCTCCTCCAAGTGTACTTAGGGCACGCGAGAGGGGCCTTCTTGCAGTTCTTATATGAAAACAGAGTTCACGAGTTGGCCTCGGGGTCTGAGTGATTAGGCATGTTGTAATGGGCTTTTTTCGGAAAATCTATCGGAGTTGGGTATGTCGGAAATCTGGCATACATTTATGAGTTTTGTGATCATATGAAGAATCATTGTCACTTCGATCCTTTAGCACGATTTGTGGTTCATACAAACAGAGTCGTACTGGGATTTCATTTTCACTTCATTTTCCTTGTTGTCATCTGTGTAAGTCCCATCTGTTGAGTAAGGAGCGCCTCTAAATGGGGGTATTTGCTTGTTTTGGCATATGAAAGAATATTTTTGAATTTTCTTTTCAATTTCACTATAGCTTTAAGCTGCTCTAGTCTCCTGCCAAGGCATAGCCACTGGTAGGCAGG